CAAATATACTTTTTTACAAAAAAGTTTAGCTTTATTTTAATTTTTAACAACAAAATTCAAGATTTTGACTATTGGCAAGAAACAAGTAAAAAAGAACTCAGTGGTTAACGAAAAAGTAAAAAATGAATGGAAAAAAAGAAGCAATATATATACTGTCTCCTCACAGTTTCGTCATGTATGATATATATATATATATATATATATATATATATATATATATATATATATATATATATATATATATATATATATATATATATATATATAATGCTCCCTATATATTTGGGTAATGCCAAAATATGTTTGCACTCATTCTTTAAATATATTAATAGAGGAAAGTCCAGGGAAAAGAATTCGATCTTAGAATGGAAAATCAAAAATGAAAATTTGAAGAGCTAATTATATTATATTCTTTCTCGAGGTACGTACGCCTGGAAATAAACTTCAGTTCTTTTTATAATAAGCTTCTCTTCGTTAGGATTGCATTTTTTTAGGGTCCGTTTTGTTCAGTCGAATTTGACCCACTTCGGATACAAATATTGTCATATTTAGCCCTATTTATAAAATAATTATAAAAAATTGAGAATCTTTATATATAATCTTAGAATTAAGAACTAAATAGAGGAAATAAGAATTGAAAAATATATTTTGTTTTTTAAATTAAGGAACTATATTTTGTTTTCTAAATTAATGAAATGTATTTTGGTTTATTTAATTAAAAAATCAAGGAATTACAGAGAATACTTTTTTTTAAAATGAATGAAATGTATTTTTTTTCTTAAATTAACAAACTACAAAGTATAAACCTTTTAAAATTAACCAAATGTGTTTTTTAGAGCATGAACAATGGCAAGGCAAAAATGGAATGTCACACGGTGACATGGAACATTTTAACCAATAAAAAATAATCCAGTCAGCGTGTGGCAATTGCATGGAGTGACAAGTTCTACAATGGCAAGTCATTATTTTTTATCATTTTTTTACATTTTTTACTTTTTTAAACATAAAAAAAATATTTTTATTATTTATTTTATTAAAAAATTATTCTACTTTCTTGTACATTTTTTTTTTTCATAAAAGTTTTAAAAAAATTATTTGAAAAAAAAGAAAAAGGAAGGATGAAGTGTCACACTCATGCCTCACCAAGCAAGGCATTTTGGTCTTGCCATGTCATGATAAGAGTGGAAAAAGCTGATGTGGCAGTGCAAGACATCCCACTTCCTTACCACTGCACATGCTCTTAGAAATGAAATATTTTTTAACGAATGTATTATATTTCTATTAACGAAGTGTATTTTGTTTTCTATTAATAGAATGTATTTTGTTTTATAATTAAAAAAATAATAATCCTTTCGTCCCTAAATAAACTTCCCTTTTTGACTCTTTGAGGATTTAAAGGAGATATATTTTTGTGTTGACTTTCCAAAAATACCCTTGATGTGATGTGTAAAAGTAAGATGTGATATGTACATTATTAGTAAAAGGGTATGATGTGATAGGTAGGGTATGAAAAAGTAAGGGATAAAAGGAGTTTTTTAAGGGAAAAAGAAGTTTATTTGGGGACAAAAAAAATGAAACGAAAAATTTATTTATGGACGGAGGGAGTAAGTACTTGGGCTAAATTCCATTGTGGTCCTTCAAGTTATTGAATTATGCATCTACGATTAGTCCTTCAACTTTAAAAATAAGTTAAACTTTACTCCCAGTATCGAAAATGCACTATCACAATGTCAAAATGCATCGTGACGGGATAAAAATGCACCAATCTCATGATAAGATATATTCTTGCAGTAAGGATTATTCTTACTTGAACCAACCTTTATATGAGTACTAAGAATGTTCATGAGGTCCTAGATGAACTTTACCTTATGTTTCGTTCAAGTATTTCAAAAGATATACTCCCTAAGAAAAGAAGTTGAGGCGGAAAACATATTTTCTTGCTTGTTAAGAAGGAAAAGAAAAAAAACATGGAAGAAGAAATGGACTAAGGAGAGAAAATATTTTTCCTCCATTTTTGGGAAGGAATTGAAAAAAGAGAGAAAATTCTTATCTTTTCCTTTCATCTCAAATCAACAAACCAAACACAAGGTTAGATACTTAGATTTATTAAAGATTTTACCATTTAATCTATATAGTAAACGCAACACACAGTTTCTTATTTAGACTTCCTATTATCGTTTCCACTTCAAATTAAAACTATGACGGGCCTGTTTGGAAATAGCGTTAGAGATTAGCGTTAGCGTTTTGGATAAAATTTTAACGGTTCAGATTAATTTGAAAACGCTAACGCTAAACGCTGCCCGTAGATAGCCTTTTGAAAATGGCAACGCTAATCTCTAACGTTATTCCCAAACCGGCCCGACATTTAATATTCGAAAATGAACATAATTAATGTTGATACCCGGACCTACATTTCGAATTTAGCTCCGAGTCCTAAAATTGTATTGGACGACATTGACCATATACTCACAGAATTATCAAACTACACGTGTAGAGAAGAATTATTCTGTGAAATGAGAAGAATTATTATTTTACGCATTCCATAAAACGGGATCATTAACATGTGCATGTGTGTGTACTAATTAATTAATTACTTAAACTATTTAATTCATTTGTATGCCAAAATTAGGGAAGATCGTGTGTATGCGTACGTGGGAGCAAAAATGTATGCCGCCCAAATCCTGTTTCGATATGTATGCAATCCGACGGTGGCCAAATATATCTACGCCTCCTTTTTTCTCGTAGCTAATTTTCTGGCGTGGGTGGCCCGCGACTTTGGATACAACACTTTGAATTCAATGGATGGTAATTAACCTTCTTTACTTATTTATAGTATCCACTTCACATTCTTTAATTAATCTGCTTCTTATATACTCCCTCCATCCTATAATGATCTTCCCAGAGCACTATTCTAACTTCACAGAAATTTATATTTATTTGTGTTTTTTCATGGCCTATATGATAAAATAAAATATTTTTGTCACCACTTGTTTTGTTGAACTTTTGGTGTAGTTTTTAAATATGTATGTTTTATTTTTTATTTCTATATCAATATTTAAATAAAATAGATTGAAAAAACTTGGGATTTTTTTTCGTTTTGCGAATTGGGAAGATCATTATAGGACGGATGGAGTACTTTATTTCTCTCTCTATATATATACTCAATCGGCAATAGAGCCTCACCAGCGACATTGTGAGTAACATCTCAAGAAATGAGGGGCCGAGGCTCCTTGTGTGCAATGAGCGCTCGTCACAGCCTCTGTTGCCAGTTGAGTCACTGTGATTTACATTCGGCTAAACTCCACCATTGGTCCTTCAATTTTATCAGTTGTGCACGATTGGTCCTTCAAGTTTTTAAAGTCCATAAATAGTTCTTCAACTTTATGAGTTTTGCACCATTGGTCCTTCAAGTAGTCCTTCAAGTACATGTCAGTCCTCTAGATTAGGTCCTTTTGACAGTAAATGTTAAAAGCTAAATGGAATACTAGCTTCATATAATACGGAGTAGTCGTACCTAGTGGAATTTACTTGTATTATATGAAACTAGTATTTCGTTTAACTTTTAATATTTACTATCAAAAGGACTTCATTTGGAGGGCTGACGTGTACCTGAAGGACTATTTATGGACTTTTGAAACTTGAAGGACCAATCGTGCATAACTCATAAATTTGAAGGACTATTTATGGACTTTTAAAACTTGAAGGATCAATCGTGCACAACTCATAAAGTTGAAGGACCAATGATGGATTTAGCCTTTACATTCTCTCACAAGGGGTGAGGGACGCTCGGATTGAGCAGTTTCGCTTTTTTTGGAATATGAATGCATACGATTTAGGGAAAAAGACCAAAGTATGGACTTACATTATCATACATGGTCATATATATTACCAAAAAAGTATAGTAATTTACACATGTACACTGCTACATTACAACAGGGCAAAGTCACATTACCACAGTGCAAAGTCCTATTTCGAGAAAAAAATTATGAAAGTTCTATTTTGGTACTTTTCTCTATGTTTTAGTTATATTTAGGGTGATTTCTATACGATTTATTAGATTTCCCAAATTTACGGGTCAAACTTTTCTACTAGTCCCGAAAATGCAATGCTTTAGTGTAAAAATGCATCACAATGGGTCGAAAATGTACCATTTTCATTTCTCGCAACAAGGATCGTTCTCACCTGAACCAACCCCTATATATATGCTCCCTCTTTCCGCATAGATTTTTCCATTATGCATTATAAGGCCTGACTAACTTTGTTTTCAATTAAATTTATTTGATGATAGAAGTAAAATTTTAAAATAAAATTTTTACCCATTATAAGAATAAAATTTATTCAATTATATATATATATATATATATATATATATATATATATATATATATATATATTGTAATTTTTTTAATTTTTTTTATCCCGGTGATGAACCAGCACCAAGACGCTGGGATAAGGTCTAAAAACCCTTACGAGCTTACCAATTTGTTAAGGGTGTTTGGTGAGCAAACAAAATATGAGTTTTGATATCTCCAGACATTAGAATTTGTATTGGTGTTCGATGAAGGAAAAAGAGATATCACATCTGATATCTTCAGATATCGTAAAGTCTCCAAGTGGAGAGTTTCGATGTATCACGAATTTAAGAGATATTAATACGAGGATTTAATATCTCTTTCAAGCGTTGCATTCTCTTGCATCAGCTATCATTATCGTCACCAACAACTACCTTGTTGCCAGTTATCCACGCATATCACTACTAGAATCATGATTTTAATTTTTTCCACATTAATCTATTTCACATTCAAAAGTTCATTTCATTTCTCTTGAACTCATCAAACGAATCCTAATATCTTATATCTTATGATCTCTCTCGAACTCATCAAACGAATCCTAATATCAATATGAGGACATGTTCGGGAAGGAATAGACTCAAGCCCCAAAGGGAGGAAGGGAGAGAAAGCTACCCAAATCTAAATCGAAAGAAAAGCCCAAAGACGAGAGAGCATGGCCACCAAAACCATATCGATGTCAGCCCATGAGAGATTGCTCAACCATAGCCGGAGAGGTCCCTCCGGAAAACAGAGTCATCGTAACGGGAGTCCTCCGGAAAGTCTAGCCGATTAGCGAAGCTACCTTCCCGAAATCAATCTCAATCTAGGTTTGATCTCATCCATGTTTTTAGCACGATGAATCCAACACCAGTCAAAGAGCGTTCTGGTAATCGCCGATTACACACGAGCATAGTTGGGACTGGTATTGTCATGGGCGACTGTGTTGGCTTCCTTCCAAACAGTTATTCCAGGGAGCGTCGTTCTGAACTTACTCGATTCTTAATCGAGTTAGGGTTATGGGAAAGGTCCCATTCAATGATGTGTTATCCGATCAAAAGGTGAGGCTATAGGTGCTTCGAAGTTTGCCGCAAAAAATCTCCATATTGACATTGGTATGTATAGACTATGATCCATTTCTCCTCCATGAGTGTTACAGAGCGCACATTTAGAAGCCAGGTGAAAGCCATTTCGCAGAAGGTTCTTTAGGAAAGGGAAAATGTCCCAATGAACTCTCCATAAGAAGAAACTAATTTTAGGAATTTGGAGTTTATTCAAGCTTTGATTAAAGCAGAGTTGCTTTGGTTAATTGGTTTATGGTCTCTGGAAACGTCATGTGCTTTACCGAGAGAGAAGCTACCATCTTCCCAATCTAAGTTGTCCCCCGTGAGTGTAGCTTGGGGTTGTGCAGAACTATTGATTCTAGCCATTCTCTTCCAGACTGGGGAATCATAAATTCTTTCTTTAGTGACAATTCTTTTAAGGTATTTAGCTCTCATAGTTTGACAGAGTACGCTTCTTGGATATCTGCAAGAGATCAAAGCCCTAGACCACCTTCATCTTTAGGAAAGAAGATGTTATTTCAATTGATCCGGTGCTGTTTGGCCTTGCCTTTATTCTAACCCCAAAAAAATCAGCCATGTTCCTCTGAAGCTTGTGAATAATAGAAATAGGCAATCTATGGATGGCCACAATATGAAGAGGAATTGACGAAAGAACATGTCTAATAAGGATTAGCTTGCCCATAGGATTAAGGGTCTTGCTATACCAAGAAGTGAGATACATATCAAAACGAGTGATTAGATCATTACAATATTGTTTTCTGAGGATACCCTTAGTCACAGTAGCTCCCGGATAGGTGAAGGGAAAGTTGCCATGATTCATGGCAAGAGCTGAGCTCATTTTACCAATCTAAGTAGGTTTCATTCTTTGGGCACTGTAGAAAGTGCATTTGTTAAGATTAACTCTTTACCCAGAGGCTTGCTGGTGGTCATTGAGTATAACTTTGAATCTGAGCAGATTCCTCAAATCCCCTCTAATGAATGTTAGTAAGTCATCTGCAAAAGCATGGTGACTAACACGAGGGAGTTTGCCAATGTTGTAGTGAGTCAGGAAAGAGGTATCCATATTTTTGTTGATCATCCTAGAAAAGCCTTCACTACCAAGAATAAAAAGCAGTGGTGAAAGAGGGTCCCCTTGCTTGATATCCCTCTTCATCTTGATGAATCCATATGGGGAGCCATTGATAAGAATGGATAGATAGCTGCCCAGGAGGTTAGCTAGGAGAAGCTTCTAGGCTAGGGGGTTAAGCCGAGATTGGAAAGGATTTCTCTTAGGTACTTCCGTGCCATCTTAAGATTGGATCATTGAAAGTTATAAACTTATAGATCGTCATTCTATACTTTTACAAAAATCCAACGTTGTATCACACTTCATGCACCAGAACAAAAAATAATGCAATATTTAGACAAAATTTAAAAATGTTAAAATACGTGTTGTTTGATTTCATACAATATTAGTTAAACTTATATGAGTTTTCTTTTTTGAATATAGCCTACTCCATTTCCTTTTATGAATGTCCCTAATTATTAGTCTCTCTCTTTCCTTTTAAGCAAAGAACTTTATGATTCATATTCATTCTTTTTCTTCCGTACAAATTTTAATCGCACACTTTTTAATAAAGGAAAGTGTTAAACTGTTAATTTAGCTTTTAGACTTCAAAAAGGGAAAGTATAAACTTCATTCAAAAGGGAAGGGGTATTTTTTTCATATGTGGTGGATGCGAGTTATGAAAAGGATATCTACCTGGATAAAATTAAAACATTAAACTTTCATCAAAATAAGAGATCTTATGTCTTTATTTCATAAATAGGATGGTTGACACTGTAAACGCAAAAGATTTGGCATTGTATGTTGCTATTTCACAGTGTTTTCCTTAGCAATTTAAGAGAGTAAATTATTCTTACCAAATCATTCCTGCATCGTTAGTTGTGCATGAAGTCTGGGGTGGGGTTTGCCGTTTATAAGTTTATTACTCCGTAAACTATTTGGTCGCAGGGCTAAAAGCTTGCAATGGTGAAAAAGATTGTTTGAGCAGAGAAGGAGTGCTTAGAGTCAGCTTGGGATGTTTCGTATCTTTTTATTTTATTAAAATACGTTTTATCATTTTTTCCAAATGTTTTTTTAAGAAAAAGGTGTTCAATTCCATTTCCATATATGATTTTTTTCTACAAGTAGCTATTTAATACGGAGTAATTAGTATACATAGAGTTAGAAGTTAGAACTTGACAGCACATAGACGTTTTATTTGATAATGTTTGCATCGACGGTGGGCACTTCAGAGAGGGAAGGGCGTAGAGAAAAGTGGCACTGTGGGTGGTGGGGTCCTAAGACGGCGATGATGTTTTCCCTCGTTTTCTTCCCATTTGCTTTCCCTTCTAAACTGATTTCTATCTACGGTACGTCACTCACTCACTCACTCTCTCTCTCTCTATTCAAGAGCTATATTATTAATTTCAATTTTCAATCATCACATATGTTCATGCTTTGATTTTAAAGAAAATAAGAAAATTATTGAAAAATGAAAAATGATGGTCATTTATTAGTTTCATTGACTATTTTGTGTAATTGAATTTACATATATCAGACGGAAATTTTAATAGACATTAACGAGTTCGAAGGTGCGGGTGCACGCTAGTTCAATAGTATCACAAATTCCATAGACGTTTTGAGCTGTTTTGTTTTGCACATTGTTGCTTTATGAAATTCTTTTGGATTTTCAGAAATGAAGTCAAATAAGGGAAATATTCGAATGTATGAAACCATATGTTCGAATGTTAGCGATAACCACCATCACCTTTTTGCAGAAGGACGTAATCATTCACATGTCTAACTTAGACATTCAAATGTTTCGCGATTGGTTGCAACGATTTGCGTAGAGATCTGCAAATTCATTTCTAATCGCTGCAAACATTCGAACATTTAAGCCAAATATTCTAAGATTTTGAACCAATTTCTTTTTTTTTTCTCTCTTGGTTTCAACTCCAACCTATACACACACACACACACTCACACTCACACATATATAGGCTCTCTAAAAACATACTAATTCTCGTACATATGTTTTCTATATGTGATGAACAGGTAAAATTTCAATAGGTGGAGCTGGGTATGTACATTGCTTAAAAAAACAAAGAGTCAATTATATTACATTTAGTGTGCAAATTGAAAGATCTGGGAGATTCAATGCAAGAGGCAAAACTATTATGGTCTATATATATATATTTGTTTGTTTGTTTGTTTGAATTTACAGGGTGTTTTTACTAATCAGCATGGCCTCTTTCATCATTTGGATACAAAAGAGGTGCTACTCCGAAAAATCAAAGTTGAGCAACTCAAAATTTAGGAGGGCGGTTGCAGGAATTTTGCACTTTTTATGCATTGTGGGCATTTTCATTTTGTACGTCTGGTACGCGCCACACGCGTCTTGCTTGCTTAACATTTCCATCATCAGTGGAACAATAATACTCTACCTCATTATGAGTGGTGCTTCCTTTCTTCGTAGTGTGAGTTTTTCTTTATTTGTCTTTGCTTTTCATCTCACATCATTTTAAGAATGAGTATTTTTCTCTTTTGATCATTTGGTCGGATCAGTTTAGAAACTTTAGTTAATTCAACGTGCTTTAAGAACTCACTCTAAGGCCCTGTTCTTTTGGGTTGGAAAAATTAACTTCCAACTTCTTCCAACTCTTTCCAGTTTTCCCAACTTTTTCCAGTTTCTTTCAGTTTCTTCTAACAACTTAAAAATGTATTTATATATGATTAATATAAAATAATATTACTCCCTCCGTTCACAAATAAACTTTACGTTCACTATTCACAGGGTCAAACTTTATCCACTTTGTTGGCCTATTTTCGTCACCCATTTGATAAAATAATATAGTCATGTCACCTCTAGTTTTGTAGATCTTTTGATATAGTTTTTTAATATGTAATTTTTATTTTTCAATTCTACACCATTTTTCATATAAAATGATTTGAAAATAACTTCAGTCAAACATCGTAACGCGTAATGTAAAGTTTAATTTTAGACGGAGGGAGTATGTATCTAAATTTATAACATATCACCTCAAACACGGAGAATGATGAATTTTTTCTTTTTTCCAAAAGAAAATATATTCTTACATACAGTATTTATTTGGACAATCATTTGAGTGACTTTTTAACACATAAATTCTTCCAACAATTTCCAACAATTTCTAGTTTTTTCCAATTCCTTCCAGTTTCTTCTAACACCTTCCAGTTTCTTCCAACATCTAACTTTGAAATTCCAACACAAAAGAACAGGGCCTAAACAGGAGTAAAACATAGAGAATGTACCAAAATAGGAGCTCCATGTTTCTATCCTCAAATAAGAGTTTGCATTGTGGTAATGTGGCATTGTATATGGATATTTTATAATACTTTTTGATAATGTATATGGTCATGATTGACATTGTAAATGCATTTTAGCTCATGTTTCGGGAATAAAAATATAGAACTCCTATTTTGGTATAATTTCAATATTTTACCCTTACTTTAGTGTTTTTCCCATGGGCTTTTGGCACCCATTGAGGGGTGTAGGGTATTGCCGTTTCCATCTCTCTATAAGTTTGCTTCTACACGTATTATTTAGTACATTTCAAAACTATTAGATATTCGGGATGAGTAAGAACATTTTTTAACAGTGTTTAGGAATACTAGAGAGTCGGTGAAAAGACATGATAGTTACACAAACTGCAACAAGCCGAGTGCTCAGCCTCTTTAGAGCAACTCCAGCATATAGGCTATATGCTAAAATTTACACAATATACACTTTATGGTTGATTTTTTGACACTCCAAGGGAGAGGGTAAAACAAGTGCTAAAATACAATATAGGGTAAAATGCAATTGGCAAAGTGTATTTTTACAAGTTGATTGTAGATAGGGAAAAGAATAAAAATGTACTAGGGAGTATATTATACAAAATATGGTTGGAGTAAGCAAAAAAAAGTGGAAGTGTAAAATATTGTTGATAGTGTAAAATGAAATTTACACTACCAACTTTTACACTACACAATGGAGATGCTCTTAGACGCTAGATCGGTCGGGTATATCTATAGTACTGTTCCTTATTCTGTGTGCATTTTTTATCAGGAGTATTTATTTTTAGCAAAATTTGCTTAATTTGATGTTTTTATGTCAATGAATCGTTACTATAATACTATGTGCTAATTGAACATTATTTTTGTACTCTGCATTAAGAGTTGTTTTTACTATTTTACTAGCAATATTTTTATGATAGCTAAATGTTTGAAAAGATGTCTAGGAGTAATACGTTGTTAATAAGTTTTTATTTACTTTAGTTTGGAATAATTTGTTCTCTGGTGTAATTGTCATTTTTATTAAACTACGGAGCAAAATAAGTACCAACTTAATACAAATTATTTATCCATCAAGTACGAAAAATAAACGCACTCCCTAGACATCCAGGGTTCATATCCAGGGCTCACCAGTGATATTCTGAAAGCAGCTAAGGTCCCAGCTAATAAAGTCTCTGAGTCATTTCATCATTAGATGAGTCAAGAAGAAATAACTTTGTCAACAGACTCAACACTCTAACAACACCAAAACCATTTTCATGGCACAGGTGAATGGTGGTTTTCTATCTTCTGGTATAATGGGAATTTATGTTATATACATTTGTTGGTGTGCACTCAAAAGGTCAGATTTTCGATATCTATACTGTATTAAGTTTATGTATGTATGTATAATGTTTTTTTGTGGAAAAAAGTGTAGGTATAACGTTTCATCATTATTTATTATTTATTGTAATATATTCTATAAATAATACTGCATTTATAATGATTAATTACATGCATGCAGTGAACCTCAAGAAACATGCATGCGAGAGGGAGGATCCTCTAAAGAAGATGTGTTCACCATCATAGTACGTAATGTTTCACACTTTCACCCTATTTACTCCTCTTACACACACACACACATATCATCTCAAAAGCGCAGCTCATTATATACTAATGGATAATAATGGCTTCTAAATGATGTGTGTGTGTCTGCAGAGTTTTTTTGCGGGTTTGATAACAATGGTGGTTGTGACGTTTACAACCGGCATCGATTCTAAATGTTTTATGACCGCGGTTCGTCCCTTTCACGTTGCTCTACCTCCATCTCACTTTAATTACTTGTATAACACTCACTCCGTTCCAGAGTATTAGTTCAGTTTTTGACTTTTTACGTTCGAATCAATCTTTGACCAATAATTTAAAATTATACCATATGTGTGTGTGTGTGTGTCTATATATTAGACAAAGTATTCTTCTATCAAAATCTAATAATCCCTTCGTCCCAAAATCAAGTTCTGGTTCTACTATGTTTGACTTAAGTTGTTTTCAAATTAGTAAAGTTAAAATTGGTGTAGGAAAAAAAAGTATATATTAAAAAATTATATAAAAAATTCTTCAAAAATAGTGGTGACAAAGTTATTTTATTTCATCGAATAATCGGTAATAAAGATGTATAAAGAAAGTAGATTAATTTTGAAGAGTTGTTTAATTAATTATTAATTACAGTTGAAAAGGGAGGATGAAGATGATGAAGTTCCATATGGATATGGATTCTTTCACTTTGTTTTTGCCACAGCATCCATGTATTCTGCTATGGTTCTAGTCGCATGGGATACCAACCACCATATGCAAAAGTACGTAGTTGGTGCTCATTCATTTATTACTTTTATAAAGTACTCAAAATAGGTACTTTTGATATTATTTTTTAATTATAACTGTCTTGTACACATTATATCTTACATACCTCATATAAAGTAAAATAAAAATTTAAAAATAATATCAAAATTACACATTTTTTTGACGGTGTCTTTTTCCATCTTTAAAAAGCTTTATGTGACGAAGAAAGTATATGATTATATATAAACTTAATGATGGAGTAATAACGAAGTACATGTGATCGGTGTTTCGAGAGACCATCCTCTGTCCGATGGATATCGATTTGATACAGACGTATATATATGTGTGTGTGTGTGTGCAGGTTTACAATTGATATCGGGTGGACTAGTACTATTGTGAGGATAGTAAATGAGATTGTAGCAGTCATCATTTATGGTAATTAACTTCTATTTTACATATTTTTCTCTATCTTATATATATATATATACACACACACACACACACACAAAAGCAACCACTTGTATGTCAATTAATCCAAAGTTAATTTATTAAACCTTTTTGCTGCAGGACTGGTCCTGATGATTAATAAACACGAGTGATTTGCATATATGGCTGATGTACTCCGTAATACATTTAAATCTTACGAGAAAGATCGAGTGTTGTTCGTACGTGTTCTACAATTAGTAAACTAAACTTGGTGATGAATTAATATGCTTGTGATAGAGTTCATTTCTTTTTAAATTCATTTTATTTAACTTGCAAATGCAAAAGAAAAAAAAATTAGAAAAAGGGTAGTACAAATACTTAATATGATTGTATAGTGTGGGGTTGTAAAAGCAGTTTCTATTTTGATTTTTTGAGTTTTGACAAGTTAATTTTCGTTATTTTACTTCCTAATTATATCTTTAGCAGTTAAGCGTCGAAGAAAAAAGGACAAATCACTTGGTAAATAATTTATTGAAATAATCACTTAAAGCAAAATGGATGGAATATATTGAAATAATTTTGTTTGGAAGGATAATATGAAAAATAATGGGTCAAATTGAAAAGTTCAAATTATATATCTCTGTTTCAGAGTATTTATCCACTTTTTATTTTTTTTAGTCAATTGTTTTTAATCTTTGACTTATAATTAAATAAAATATATATTGTATATCAATTATATATAATAATATGTATATTAATTATATATAATAATATTTTGAAAAATATTTTATATAATAAAATTGTTTTTGTATCGATTTGTATCGGAGTATCATTTTTATTTAATTTGGGATCAATTGTTTATTTTTAGAGTTATATGCACAAATAGTCCGGCCTTATGGTCTTTCATAAATAGGTAAATAGTCTCTATACTTTTAAAAGTTACAAAATAGTCCCTATAGTCAAAGAATTGAGGCATAATTAGGCCTTTCTTTAAAAAAATGTAAAACACACCAAACATAGTTGTATTGTGTAAAAAAGTGAAACATGTAACTAAAAAAAGAAGAAAAAATTACCCAAAATAATCCCAACTTTACCCGGTCTTTCAAAAATAATCCCACATTTCACTGTGATGTATAATAATTCCAACTTTAATGAAATTTGCCAGTTTTGGGTTGCCGTTAAGTTTCTAACGGAGGGTTAACGGAAATGCCCGTTTTAGGCAACAAAATGAAAGTTGAGATTATTTTTGATGACTTTTTGTTTTTTATTTTTTTTTGAAATTTTCATTTAAATTTTTAGAATTACTTTCTACCTCCATCATCATTTTTTTTCCTTTTTTAAAGATTAGTCTTAGTTTAAAAAATAAAAACAATAGATATAAAAAATGAAAAAATGAGAAATGTAACTAAAATGATACAAAAATAATAAAATAAATAAGGTAATCAATGGAAACTAACTTGAAATTGGAAAAAGTAAAATAAAAATATACGGGTGGGTTTTAATATTTTAGGCATTATACAAAGTATTAACATATCACTTCTTATTTTTTAGAAAAAAATATCTACAATAATTCCAACTTTACCGGACGGCTTGTTCTTTTAAAAAATAAGTGGTACATTAAGACTCCGTATAGTGTGTAAAATGTTAAACCCACGACTCCATATATATTTATTTTATTGCTTACCAGTTTTTGTTTAATTTCTATTGATTACATTATTTATTTGATTAATTTTGTATGGTTTTAGTTATTTTTCTCATTTTCATTATTTTTTATATCTATTTTTTTCTAGGGTAAGAATAATCTTTAAAAAAGAAAAAGAAATGGAGGTTGAAAGTAATTCAAAAAATTTAAATAAAAATATCAAAAAAAATTAAAAAACAAAAATTCATCAAAAATAATCTCAACTTTCATTTTGTTGCCTAAAACGGGCATTTCCGTTATCCCTCCGTTAGAAACTTAACGGCGACCCAAAACTGGCAAATTTCAGTAAAGTTGGGATTATTATGCATCACAGTGAAATGTGGGATTATTTTTGAAAGACCGAGTAAAGTTGGGATTATTTTGAGTAATTTTTCCAAAAAAGAAGTTTATCTCATAAAACTATTTCCTCATGGTTAGGAGCAAGGTATGTTCTTTTTCTAGCTCTTTTCTCACACGATATTAGCTTAGAATAACGCTTCTTGAAAAACAAAATAATGTCGAGCTCACATAAGACATTATATATTTGTACTATTATTCAAGAATATCACTATAGAAGAGACAGAGAATTTATTGTATAGTTAAACTAAAGGATGAAAAATATTGTACTATGGTTCAAAGTTACACATCACAACTGAAATTTTAAATTAGTTTTTTTAATGATACATGATTGACGTTTTTACATAGTACACGTGTATTGTGTACATTTTACAAATTTTCTAATATAGAGACTAATTATGCTATGATTGTTTGACCACAAAGACTATTTGGCAACTTTTAAAAGTTTGAGGACTATTTACCCACTTATGAAACACCACGGAGACCATAGATGCATATAACTCTTATTTCTATAAAAATCTTTAAATAAAATGAATTGAATAGTGTTCAATTTTGTTTTGACAAAATGGACAATATTGTCTCAATTTTGATAACTTTTATTTGTTTGCATGTTTTCATTGATCATTGAATAAAATAAAATATATATTCTTGTGACTTTTTGTTTTGTAGACTTTTTAATATATTTTTAAACGGTATAATTTATATTTTCATTGCTATACTAATTTATTACCAGAATATAAAAATGATAAGAGTTTACCGATTGTTTGGAGTTTGGTATATATTGTGTCCACTGTTTGAGACAGCAAAAAAGTGGGAAAATAAGAAAAATGTTAGGGGTACACCTTTCATTTGTTCCCCACCTCCTCCTCCACCACATAAATGGGCAAAAAACTTAAAAATAAATAAACAATTAAAAATGAAATAAAAATATATGGTGGAGAAGGGGGTGGGGGACAACTGGGGTACATCTTTGGTGTACCTCTAGCATTGCTCGGAAAATAATTACTAGCGACAATGTCATTTATTCATGAATCATGATAGATAGATTAGACCGTGCATCATGATTCTTTGATGACGTAGAGGGTGTTTAGCAGTGCGCTGCTTTTAATAATTTAATTAGCTTCTGTTTTGAGTGGAAGTGATTTTACTCTGTTTGGCATGTCAGCTTCTGCTTTTCACCACCACTATTATATACATGGAACACCGTTTCGGAGAAGTAAGTATGATGTGCTTTTGCTTTCAACTTTTGTGAAAATCACTTTATCCACAATTTAATCATTCTCAAACACCCGGTATTATTAGACATTTACTTTTCCGACATACCGAGCAGAAAACATGGATTATGTTAGCAACTTACCCTAGGTGATTTTCGGTATGACAATGGCATATAATTTATCCTAGTAAAAAATAATTATCTAGGTGCTTTTCAGTATGACAATGGCATATAATTTCTAGCATTTCTGACAAAGCATTTTTGCTTTCCATTTTCATTCATCTAAAAAACTTTACCTTGACAATTAAATTCAGATATTTATACCTATTAATTACTCCATCTCTCTAATTTCTTATTATTACTAGTATTTTGACCCGTGGCGCGCACAGGGTCGAACAGATTTTTTTGTCGATTCAAAAAAATTTCTTAATGCAATATTTTTTTGTAATAAGAAAAATATACTTCTCGCATGATTTTTAAAGAGACAAAAAAAATAAAGTGGAATAAATAATATTTGAGGGATTGAATGTGTACACAATAAAAAAAATTTAATTCTAAATTTTCTTAAAGACTTCAGTGTACGTAACATTTTTAGTATGGTTGCAAGGGTTTCCATTGTTATCTAGGACTAATATTTTTAATCATGTTTGTCTTCACTCGCGAAACAGCAACATAAAGTTGAACATGAGTGAACACCGACTTGGTGAAGAATAATCCAACAAATGACAATATTAGATCAGATCTTAACTTTTGTTGATAGTCATAGCAAAACATAAGGCTATTGGAAATTGTCTTCTCTCAAACTTCAAGGATAGCCTGCATCAGATGGTACAAAATTCATCCGGGATATGTAAACTCTTTCCCCCACCCAATTTCTCAAAACCACAATAACACTGATAACGTTCTTTCGCAGTTTGTCAACAATTATTCTTGTACTGTTACAAAGTCTAGACGTTTGGTCAATGTTTCTTAATAACATAATTGGTACCCCCAATTTTAAAACTACTTATGGTTTGGAATCCCCGGCCATTTGATTTCATTCAAAAACTCAACTATTATCCAATCGCCATCAACACCTACATTTAGATTTGCCTGACATGAAAAATCAGAACTCAAACACATCATTTCATCTTCGGGAAATGAGTGATATGACAAACTCATTTGCCATTTCTACAACTTCAAGCGTGGGTGCCTGTTGTGGCTTGTCCTCGAAAAAAAATAACTTTTCTTGTTCTCCAATAAGTTCAGATAAGTGAAGTTCACTACATTCGTGAGGAGGAACTCATGTCTAGAATCAAGAATTTAGGCGAAATTTCAACATCAGTTGTTCCATCAATCACTAGTCCAAGCTTTCCATCTCCAATTTTATTATCCAATAAAAAAGCTTGTGGTCTCTATTTGTGCAACATGATGTAGATGAATGCAATCTTATATTCTTTGTCAGCGTATAAACTTTACAATACGACCACAATTTTGAAAATTTGATGGTAGCACCTACAATTTCCTCTCTCGAAGCTCTAGGTAAAACATGAAGAATTTGTTGAAAATTACCTCTTAGTACAACTGTTTTCCATCCGAATGATTCATTTATGGAGTTTTTATTAGGGAACATCATTACATCTCTCATTGTACAATCCAATGCCTCAAAAGTAAATCTATTCATCATACACGTTTCATCTCATACGATTAGACTTGCTTGTTAAATTTGTTTTGCTTTCGGGCTCCCTTGTTTGATGGCACATGTTGAGCACTCAATCAGTGCTAGAGGAATTGAGAATTGAGAATCTTGATCTCGGTGTGCTGTCCTTTCCCCAAGTAAAAGCATTGCTGCAATCACACTTGATGCAACATTTAAGACAACCTTACCATTTGACCTCAGAAAAGCAGACAATGATTTCATAGGAAATGTTTTTTCAGTTCCACCGAAACCATACACAAAAAAATTAGGTAGTATTTGAGTACATTGTTTATAATATCATATGCGCATAATTAGTTAATACCCAAAGATATTTTTCATATGATTATCTTCATATAAAGTAATAGCACATGTTATTGAAGATAGATCAGTCTCTTCTATCTCTTATCACTTGAAAGAGTGATGAAGTGGGTGTAGA